TCTGATCTCTCTTCTCCTTTCTCATATTTTCTTCCCTTTTACTTATATGTCTATCTTATTACAGTTAACCTTTTTATTTTTGGGTCATTATAGTATTTATTTATTCTTTTTAAAGACAATCTAATCTATATATTCATTCCATCTTTCAACTGATTTTCTTCCCTTCCAAACATACATATAATATTCCACATTTTCTAAAAGAATCTCTATATAGATTTCATTTAATTATATTGGATTTAATCTTTTTTTTTTCTTATATAAATAATTCCGTTCAGTATTTTTTTTGCCAATTCATACAAAATCTCCTCTCTCTCTCTCTCTCGATCTCTCTCTCGATATATTTATATATATTATATATATATAAATAAGAATAGAGAAGGTAATTAATTAGAAAAAAAAAAAGAAAAAAATCAGTGAAAAAAATGAAGGCCAATGGAATAACGAAAGGCGCACAGAGCATACCGATGATAATGCTGCTGCTGCTAACGTGCGCAGCGGTGCGCATTAAATCGGAGGAGCGTCGCTTGGTGAGAATGACTCTCGTCCGCAACGCCTCGGCTACCGGCGCATGTTAGTAAATAATTAATAAGCCATTAACCAATGACAATTTTTTTTTTTTAATTGTATTTTCTGCAAATAATTATTTACTTTTGCTCACTTTACTATATTTAATGAATGAATTAATTTGTATATATTTATTTATAAATAAAGAAAGATAATTGATAGTAGTGTTTAAGTATTGGCCGTTAGATTGCTTGGATGGGAGTTTGCCGGCATATCATCTGGACAGAGGATTTGGAGCTGGGGCTCACAACTGGCTTTTGCAATTTGAGGTAAAATTATTTATTTATTTATTTATTAATTATATCATCTCCTGCTTTTATTTAATTAATTTATTTATTTATTCTATGAGGGACAAATAAAGTTACTTCTGTAGTAAAATTATAAATAAAAGTGAAAAAGTAGGAAATCAATAGATACCTCTCCTTGGGCTATATAGATGTGATTCAACCAATAATGGTCATCTATTTTTTGTTTTTATTTTTGGTTTTATTTGGTTTTTTTTTATTTTTTTTTTAAAATAAAAATATGATTAGTTGTTAGTGTAATTTTAATGGTGTATTGAAATAATATTTTAAATAAAATAAGTAAAATTTATTTGGTGTAAAAGTAAGAATAAGGATATAATGATGATTATTTAAAGTTATATGAACGGATGGATGTAATATAAGAATGATTTTGAAGGTCTCTTGATTGTAGTCAGTTAGGAAATTGGTCACAAAATTGATATATATATATATATATATATATATATATATTATTTTGAAATTTAAAAATATAATCAAAATACAAATAAACTCTTAGGAGATAATTTCCACCAAAAAAAAAGAAGCTTAAAAGTTACTACCTCCTATTTTTAATATATGTCGTTTTGAGAAGTTGCACGCTAATTAAAAATATTTTTTTTATCAATAATAACCTTATTTAATGAAGATAGAGATAAATGTTTTGATAAAATGTGAAGAGTGAATATGAAAAGACGTAATGTATTTATTGGCTAAATGAGAGTAATAATGAAAAAATATATACAAAAGATCTAAAATGTCATTTATTTGATAAATAATTGAAAAAGCTAGAATGACATTTAAAAATAATAGGAGGGAGTATTAGTTATTAGTAGCCAGATCCAAAAGAGCTGCTTTTATTAGCCTTTTTGAGGCTATTAAACATGTTAATTGTTAGTATAGGGCAAAATGGGAATTTACTAAATAATGTTTTGCTTCTTGTATTATGAATTAGTATTATATAGTTGGTCAGACATGTCAGATCCCTGCTCACTTTATGCACTCACTGCCTCTCGGTTTAAGGGCCTGTCTGTCTGTCTTCGAAAAATAACTCAATACTCCGTATTTATAATAAATGTCGTTTTGAGAATTTTTACAATTATTTTTTGCCAATAATAATCTTTGTTAATAAAGATAGAGATAAATGTTTTGAGAAAAAATGAAGAGTGAATATAAAAAGACGTTAGTGTATTTATTAGCTAGATGAGAGTAATAATAGAAAAATATGTACAAAATATCTAAAATGACATTTATTTTACTAATATTTGATAATGCCAAAATGACATTTAAAAAAAATTAAAGGTAGTACTATTTGTTACCATGCTAAATTAATTTCTTTATAATATAAAATTAAAACATAGTTTTCCTCTTTGAATTGATTTGATATATGATACTGTAAAGAAAAATAAATTTGAAAAATATAATACTCTTTACGTATGATACGTGTCTGTTTTTTTTGAAAAATTGCACAATAATTAAAAATATTTCTCTTTACCAATAATAACTTTTTTTAATGAAGATATATAGATGAATCTTTCGAAAAAAGATGAAGAGTGAATATGAAAAAACGTAATATATTTATTTGGTAATGAAGATATATAGATGAATGTTTTGAGAAAAGATAAAAAGTGAATATGAAAAAAAAAACATAATGTATTTATTAGCGAGGGTAATAATGGAAAACTATGTACAAAATATCCAAAACGTCATTTATTTGGTAAATTGTAGATAAATCCAAAATGACATTTAAAAAAAACAGATAGTAATATTAATTTAGATGATATTTATGAAGAGGAGATGGATATATTTTGTGAGATGAAATTAGCATTTAATTGGTATATATGTAATCTTTTTTGAGATAATTCTTTTTGATGCTTTATTATTTTTGTGTTTGGTAAATAAAAGGATTAACAAAAATTATTTATTTCAAAAGTACTTCTCATGATTGACAGATTGAGAGAGCTTCCTAAACTTGATATGATGATTGTTAATTTTACTCCAAAAGTTTTCCAGATTCTTGATCTGCAACTTTGGTAAAGGGCACTAATTAATTTCTGCCTAATTTTATTCATCTAAGGGTAAATGAGTACATGTATCTCTTGGACGTAAACCAAGTGGTACATCAAGGGGTACATGTAGCATGACCCATTTAAGTTACCATGTGGCCACAGGTTTACATTAATAAAACTGCATTTTAATACTTCTATCTTACTTTAAAATTTTAATTCCCTAAAACTCGTCCGAGAAAAAAATGCAAACATTACGACAGGATGGATTTTTTATTAACAATTTAAGTCATGTAATTTTAAATTTTGTTGCAATTTCAGTCTCGAATGACTCAAATTGCAACAAAATACTAACTAAATTACATGATCAAAAAACGAAAAATTAAAAATTTTTAGATTAAAACTGCTACGACGTTAAATCAATCGGACTAAAAATTCAATTTTACCTAAGGTTAAATGTTTTCCCCCATTTTTGCTGTTTGTTGAAATAACGAAAAAGAACAAGATTGAGTGATGTTTTTTTTATTGGCCTAGTGATACTCTATTTATTATTAGGGTATCACGTGTTTAGAAAGTGAACGAATGAGTTACTTTTCTTAAATGATTGGCCGACATAACATGCAACATAACAATTCGTCTCAAATTATAAGTCGCTTTGATATACCGAAAAAGTGGATATACCGAAAAAGTCAAAGCGACTTATAATTTGAAACGAAGAGAGTACTAAATAACAATGATCCATCAGTGGGTGAGCTGGTTTCAAGATTTGGTCTTTCATGTATTAATTGGAGGGTGAGCTGGTTTCAAGATTTGGTCTTTCATGTATTAATTGGAGTACATAAATAATTTATGTATTCTATTTGATGTTTTTAATGTGCACTATTTATGATATATCTGCCCAAATTATATTACATATATGGGTGAACCAACCAGCCCAAATTTTCTTAAATTGACTAGTTATGATTCTCATGATCTATACTATTATAAAAGAGCCAATGAATCTGTAAAAATATGATATCCCTAAATTAACCTTACTTTGTCATGTTTATAATGTCAATTTTGTAATTTAATACCCTCATTCTATACTAATATTTTTAATTAAACACATTCTAGATCTTGGGGTTTATGTATGTTGGTTTGGCCCAATTATCAATGCCGTATATTTATCAAAATTTCTCCCTTTTGAATATCTTGTCACTCTCCATTTTCACTTTTTGTCTGAAACTTTTACAT